ACCACTCGGCTGCGCCTCGTGTTTTATACCCGATAAAACACTCCTGCTCGTTTATTAAACATTACTTATACTGTAACTGTCTATTTTATTTTATTTTATTTTATTTTATTTTATTTTATTTTTATTTTTATTTTCTTCAACAATTATCACTCTCACTCGTTTTTAGTTTTGTCTCCACAATACCTGGCAAAATGCGTCGTTGTCTTCTTCACTCGGTTGAAGAGAATTTGGAAATTGAAGAGTAATGATCTCGTTATGAGTCCAAGAGAGTGGAACCTCAGTGAAAGCCATCCATACCTAAGAAGAAAAGAAGAACCCATCTTTGCATAATAATAAACAACTTAAGGGACGGGAAGGAGAAAAGCGGTGAATTAAATAAGACAATAGGGAATCAAAAAAGCATGATGCAATAACATACCACTTCAATATCCTTGTGACGTCCATCAAACGTTCTTGCTTCTCTCAAACAAATCGTAAATTCATCTCTAGCGATGTGTTCTACCCAAACAGCAGAAGCATCTTGCCTTTTGTTCTGTACGTTGTGACGAGCTGTGTTGAAAACTTTGGGCTTGTTTGTGAACCCCTTTGGATTGATTTAAAATAGTTTAAATAAGGTGAAGCTTCAAATGCACAAATCATGTAGTATTGGAATATAATTAATGATCAAGGATAAGTGTTTGAAGACGTTCTAAACTAGGTGAATCATGGGTGTTGTATCGGACAGTGGCTTTCTCCTCAATCTGGAGCTTTAGTTTTGATTTCTTTACTCGGCATGACATGTGAGTAGAGTTTGTTAGGACTTTTTTTTCTTCAAGGGGTTTTCTATGGATTTTTCTGTTTGGCTTCCTACACAAAACCAAAAGCCAATGTTCAAACTTTCAGTTCAAACGGTAAGTTAGCTGTGCCCTGAGGTTGTTTTAGTTTATTGAACCAATTCAATTCATTATAAAAACAAATCACTAAGCTAACCTGTGATAGTGGTACTCGGTTACAATGTGTTCCTGTCGTCCAGTCGTTGAATCTGGTACTTCCCTCAGCCACACCTGATTCAGTCACTTGATAAGCAACCCAGTTCACTCGTACAGTCCCCTCGAACCCAGTCCCGCTCTCAACCACGCACACCCTAAACCCACTCGTAGTTACAGACTCGGTCCACGTGAATCCTACGTCATGAACACGCGACGAGTTTGTTCCCAAGCTTAATGATGTAAAGACTATTATTGTATCACTCCCAGTGAAGGATGATGGGAAGGTTACTATGTCACAGTAAAATCCATCGACAGCTGAGCGTCCGATCTGTATTTTCCTTGCTGTAACCCTTTAACGATAAATGAAAATAAGAAAAATTCACATTAAGGTCTCTGATTTTTTTAAAATGTTAGCATCATATTTTACATTTAACATATTCTGTGCTGACATAACTTTAAGAAGTTTACATTAGTGGGTCACTTGTGATCTGTGAGTTTGCTCAAAGTAAAAAGAAATTATTAATTACTCGCTTTATTTCCCTGGGGTTATTTCTTCAAGATATTGAATTTTCTGCATTTAGTATTAATTTTGAAATCAGTCTACTATTTTAATAGAAAGCTATGTATTTCATCTCAAAAAAGTAGGGTTCTATTTAATACTTTGTGTCCACTTTGTTTCACTTTGAAGAGTGACTGCTGACATTTCAGTGCCCGCGCTTCAGAGAGCCTCCCCCCCCCCCTCCCCTAAACTCAATTAGCCCCCCATAAACTCAATTAGCTCCCCTAAACTCAATTAGCCCCCCATAAACTCAATTAGCCCCCCCTAAACTCAATTAGCCCCCCATAAA